CCCCAAAACCCCAAAACCCCAAAACCCCAGGTCGTCTGGCAGCATTGATGGTATTAAAACAAAGCACTTATTTTTATTTTATAATATATTCTAAATGAAGTTCCCAAAATGTCAACACGAAGCATGCCGCGAGAGTGCTACTTGCTACTTATCAAAGAAGAAACTGTATCTTTGACAACATCACAGCTTTACTCAATATCCTGAAGAGGATTCATCTCATCTTGTAGATGACTCTACTATCGAAATGAATCTGGAAACTATAGAAATCTGCAGAAAAGATTTTCTATCATTCATTCAAATGAATAATAATGGAAGTATCCCAACAGATGAAGATTTTCTAAGCACAAATGTGAGAGAAGAGCTCGAACGCATCTTTGATAAACTAAAGGAAGCCCAAGAAGCCCAGAAGTATTACAAGTTCCTAAAGCTACATAAATAAAACTTTGAAGGTTAAAGATCTCTTACTAAAGAATGAGCTTTATGCTGAGTTCTTGATGAGCAGGGCTTGGAGTCAATCACTTGCAATAGTGAAGGGTGAATCTTTGAAGAGTTCTGAGCTTATAGAAATGGAGCTAAAAGTCAAGTATATTGCAACATTTGACACAATGTCCCAGAAGTTCAGAGAATTAAGAAATGACATCAAGAGAAGACATCAACAAGAAAGGTTTTAACTCGGAGCTGGCATTGGAAATGTCAATGACTCAAAACTTTAACAAAGAGCTCGAAGACCAACGCAAATTACACTACGAAGAACTTGATCAGAAAAAGAGACAATACAAAAACAAAAGGAGCCTGCTAAAACAGAAAATTAATGAACTAAAGGAAATTAAAGAAGCACTTGAAAAATAACTTGGCTAGCCTAACAGAAGAGAATAAAGAAAAAGACTCAGCATTGCATGCGCTCCAGAATATTCTTATTATCAAAGAAGAAGAACTTAAGATCTCTCAACAGAAGAAGGAGGACATTCAGGCAGATTATGAAAACATGAAGCAGACACTAATCCCCAACCTCGACTTCTCCAAGTACTCTGCCCTAAGTCTCCTCTACAAAATCACCACAGGCCAATCCAACCAGATAACTCCTAGCACCACCCTAGAACTGAACCTCAGCAACCCCAAACACTCCAAATTCCTAGGATCCCTACCCACCAAAATGTTAGATGTATGCAGCCTAAGTCTTGACCATATCCCTGCAGATTGCCAAGAAGCTAACATTTTTCTGACCGACTGGTTTCCGAACGAAGTAGGGTGATTCTATTTTAACTGTGGGTCTGAGTTGAGACCAATAGGGGGTTACATGGATGGATTGGTGCGAGTGAGTAAAAGAGTGAGAGGGCAGATGTGTGTTTATGATTTTGAAGTTTCTCAGGATCAACTGGTCCTCCTCTTCTCTGCCAACAGAGCTCTAAAGACGTTTGGGTTTGAATGGTGCAAACTTGATCTTTCTTCTGTTCCTAATTTTAGAGGGAGCCTTGCTGGAAGTACAATACTAGCACTAAGTTTGGCAGGCTGAGGAAACTCTTTGTACTGAGACTGGGGCAACAATGATTTCCACTTTGAAAACCTAATAATTGGTCTTTCTAAAGAGAAAAATTTTAGGAAGAAACTGAGAAAAATTGATATGTTCGAGTGTGGAATGCAGATGAATCAGGTTCAGAAAATTTTGACTGATCATGGTTTTAAACATGTTGAAATTTTAATGTAATCAAAGTAGAGTTCAAAATAGGATTGTTGAAATGAACAATTTTACTCGCATTAAGTCAGGAAATATCATTAGTAAAACTTTTACAATATAATACAATTCAATGAATCGTGCTAGTTGTGGGGTTTTGGGGTTTTGGGGTTTTGGGG